ACAATGTTCTCTCTATGCCTTGTGGCTAAGAGCCACCCATGGACCTCTGTTCTTAAGAATGTAAGAGAAGCCCTGTTGGATCAGGCCAGTAGCCCATCCAGTCCAACACTTTGGGTCACACAGTGGCCAAAACCCAGGTGCCACCAGGAGGTCCACCAGTGGGGCCAGAACTCCAGCAGCCCTCCCACTGTTGCCCCTCCCAAGCACCAAGGATACAGAGCATGACTTGCCCCAAACAGAGTGCCACTGATGGACCTTTGCCCCTGGATGCCTCAAAGCTCCCAAGCCGGCATTTAGACCAGGGCTGTCGAAATTTGTTATGAGGGCCGGATCTGACATAAATGAGACGTTGGGCTGGGCTATGTGTGTCATAAAATGTAATGCTTTATAAAGGACACAAACACAAAGGGTTTTTTTAACTTAAAATAAAAACATGCTTAAAAGATTAGCACTCTTGCAATATTTTGTTTATTTAACAGTGTCTGGTAACTGACACCTCTTGCTCTGAATGATTGCATCAAAATGTCTGTGCCGTTGCAATCTTGAGTCTGCCGTTCAGGTGTGTCTCTGTCAGCTGCAAACCTACGATGACGCAGCAGCAGCAGCCGCAGAACTGGAAGTAGCAGCAGGAGACGGCCAGTTCCACTGCGGACCTGATAGCCTTCTGGGGGCCTGATCCGCCCCCTGGGCCACATGTTTGACACCCCTGATTTAGACCATCACCAAGTGCCGAAGCAGAGGGAGGGAAGTCGGCCAGGATGATGGATCCGCAGTGTGCGGGTTACGTGCTTTGGGTTGCGTTTGCCCCCTTCCGCCCTGTGGCCTCCCCCTCGCGATGCTCCAGCAAAGGAGGAGCCCCCTCCCTTCTCCCATGAACAACTCCAGGCTGGGTCAGTTGTGAGGCCAAGTCTCACAGCCCGTTTGGTCTCCACTCCATGGTCTCCGAGGACACATTTGTGCAGAGGACACTTCATCAGACCCGGGCCGGGTCTCTCGCCAAAGATCAGACTGCTGCTGCTTCTGTGATCTTGCCAGCTGGAAAAGGTGCCACGGCCGTTGCCAAGATTGCGGCCGAGAAGCAAAGGCTGCGGCCATGGAGATCTTTGCCAAGACAGAGGAGGAGGAGGAGATTGGATTTATACCCTGCCCTTCACTCGGAGTCTCAGAGCGGCTTACAGACTCCTTTCCCTTCCCCTCCCCACAACAGACAGACACCCTGTGAGGTAGGCAGGGCTGAGAGAGCTCTCTTGAGAACTGCCCTTTCAAGGACAGCTCCTGTCAGAACTATGGGTTGCCTAAGATCATCCAGCAGGTACAAGTGGAGGAGTGGGGAATCAAACCCGGTTCTCGCAGATTAGAGTCCGCGCACTTCACCACCACACCAAGAGGCATCCCTGGGCATGTGCTGGGAGCAGCGTGCGAAGACCGGATGGATGCCGTGAGCCAGCCCCTTCGATTGCTAGGCTGGGCAGCGGCCAAAAAGGCCTTCGAGCCCTTGACCCAAAGCAAGGCCACCACCAGCCCCTCCGAGACTGGCTTCTGCAATCTAGACCAGAGCAAGCCACAAACCGAGACTGTAGAGACACCTTTGCAGGGCCAGGGGCTGCGCAGGGCCGACCCTGGACAGAGCGTGAAGGCAAAGAGAGCCGGAGTCCGTGGCCAGGGGAACTGGCTGGGAGGAAATTCTTCACAGTTCCCCGTGCAGCCATCCCTCAGGGCCTGCACGGGAACACGGGGCGGGGGGGGGGATGGAGGGAGAATCTCTCTCTGCAGCTTCTTCCTTCCTGCTCAAGAGCTCTGCCTGGAAGAGGCCTAGACCTAAGCAGAGGACGTGCCTTCGCTGCCAGCCCTTCGCACATCTGGAGGGGAGGCCATCCAGGCAACAGGATGCTGCTTCCCTGCAGTCTCTGGGCTCTCCTCCTTCGTGGCTGAAAAGTATGCAGATGGAGAGTGATTTCAGCAAAGCGTACTTTATTCGAACAGGAACAAGAAGACTTTGGCCGGCTCGCTGGCCGGCTTATATCCCCCGAGAAACCGCCACCCAAAACACACCCCTACTTCCTAATAGGTTATTTACAGTGGCCGAGAGTCCCATAGGCTCTCGGCCGGGAACCTAACCCCCTGATTGGAGCGGGCTAGGATCCGCATAGTCCATTGTCTCTTGGAGCAAAGCTCGACGTTTGTCTCTGACCGCATGGAGCCTGAGCTGGCCACGTGGTCTGGACTGGATACATTACAGTGGCACTGGCAAGGGCTGCTTCAGTGAGCTGGGGGTGTGCAACATGGACTGTTGAGATACAGCTTGCAGGAGAGCACGGTCTTTCCGCATTTAAAACATCCTCTCTGCACATGGACCAAAGTGCAGTGCACACACACACAAAAAGTGGGGATTCAAACCTGGGTGTTCCAGATCCTAGTCTGGCAATCTCAACCACTGCACCACACTGGTTCTCAGTGCTCACTTATGCTGACCATTCCTAGTCTAGATTTTCACAGCAAAAGATGGTCAGAAAGCCTTACCTTTTTATCCCTGACCTACTTTATCCCCCTCTTACCACTGAAAATTACTACTGGAGCCAGTTTGGTGTAGTAGTTAAGAGTGCGGACTCAAATCTGGGAGAGCCGGGTTTGATTCCCCACTCCTCCACTTGCACCTGCTGGATGACCTTGGGTCAGTCACAAGTTCTCTCAGAGCTGTCCTTGAAAAGAGCAGTTTCTGTCACAACTCTCTCAGCCCCGCCTACCTCACAGGATGTCTGTTGTGGGGAGGAGAAGGGAAAGGAGTTTATAAGCTGCTCTGAGAGTGAAGGGTGGGGTATAAGTCCAATCTCTTCTTCTTCTTTGCTTTCAGGAGCCATAACTTTTCCTGCAAGATATACCTCCTTCCTCTTTCCCAGGGAAAGGTGTCCTTCAAGCCTTTGGAGGGAAGGCAACCAGTTTTGTGTAGCTGTTAGGAGCGCGGACTCTAATCTGGGAGAGCCAGGTTTGATTCCCCACTCTTCCACATGCAGCTGCTGGTGTGATCTTGGGTCAGTCACAAGTTCTTTCAGAGCTGTTCGCTTGAGGGCAGTTCTCGAGAGAGCTCTCCCAGCCC